GACTCTGAAGTCAATGTTTTTATATAATAAATAAATGACTTCCAAAGTCTTATCTGCATTATAAGAAAATAGATGATATCTACATGGAATGTAGATAAGTTTGAAAAACTTTCTAGGACCATTTTCATTTATGAAATAATATATATTTATATATATATATGTATATATATAAGCAAACTACATAAGCAATCAGGAATGAGTTAAGATAAAGTACAAAATTAAGTCATAATTAGTCAACATCTATGACATATTACTTGAAAATATGACTAATGAACTTGAGTTCACCATACACACTGGGTAGTTTAAAGGTCCTATAAAGATTTTCTAAAATAAGAAACTAAAAGCTGCTTAAGACCTCTTATCAATTCCATTCCTAAAATTAAAACTTCGTACTTAAATAAATTCAGTTATCCTATTTGTTCAGTAGCTAGTATTGCCTCTTTTTTCATTTTTTAAAGATTTGTTTATATACTTTATGTATATGGGCACCTTGACTGCAAGTATGTCTGCATACCAGAATAGGGTATCAGAGTCCATTTAGAAGTGGGTGCTGGAAATTGAACCCAAGAACTCTAAAAGTGACAGTGCTCTTAAATGCTAAGTCATCTCTCCAACCTTGCCAGCTTTTAAATTATTTTTTTAGTTTGTGCACAAAAATAACGGGTTTCATTACGACAGCACCACACACGTATACTGATACATCTTGTTCACAGTCACCACCACCCCAACTTACTGCCTTCTCTTGCCTTTGCTCTTAGCACTGGGTAGTAACCCTGACATCATTGGGAAATGCAAATTTTAAGCACACTGAGATGTCACTTCACATCCACCAAAATATTACAATTTTTTACAGGAAATGTGTATTGAAATAGGTACCTATAATATGGCAGGTATGTAAGGATAATCAACCATACACCCAACTGCACAAACCAATCATTCCTGTCACCAGCGTTGCCTTGGCACTCAAAAGGTACATACTAATCTCAGTGTAATGGTTTCATTTGTCTTTTCCTTTCCCTAAGAGCAATACATGATTTCATGGTGGTGCATTTAGTATAATAAAAAAGCAGCACAGTCAAAGCCACATTCTTGACTTCTTGCCCATCCTATACTCCCAGGGCAAGCCAAAAGTCAAGTGCTGGCCTTCTAATTCAGCAATTACCATAGCAACAGCGGTCATATTCAAAGACAGAGGATGGTTCAGGCCTCTCGGCTTTTGCTTTTCTTAAGATATGCACACATTTATAAACTAATAACTTTGGTATGTATGGTTCCACATATAATGGAAGCATTTCAAACCTTTCAAAATATCAAAATTTGGCCATGGGGAAATTAAGTTTAAAAATAAGGTTCAGAAACAATACCTAGTTCCTTCACAGCAAGTTCTATACGATGATGAATCACAGCTTATAACACAGGGTGGAGGTGATTTTTAATAAAAAGTCTTCTTAGCAAAGGCACCTTCTGGTCTGTTGTGGTCTTCTGTATGCCTCTAACTAATAGCAACAGCGTCTATAAAGTTCTAAGAACCAAAGTAGCAGAAAGACAAGGCTAGGAGTAACACCTCATTTCATTCCTCAGTCTCAACTGTTTCCGAATAGTGAATCATTCTCAAACACAGACGTGACAACAGATCCTGGGCATTTCACACTCTAACCTATGGTCTAATAGGCCAAAATTTTGTTCTTCATGAAAAATTATGGCTGAGCAGTGGGGGAGCACACCTTTAATCCCAGCACTTAGGAGACAGTGGCAGGTGGATACCCAAGTTCGAGGCCAGCATGGACTATACAGCAAGTTCCAGGACAGCCAGGGCTACACAGAGAAACGCTGTCTCAAAACAAACAAACAAACAACAACAACAAAAAAAAAAACAAAACAAAAAAAGGGGAAAAAAAAGAAAAGAAAGAAAGAAAAGCTACTATGAGAAATTCGTTATTCCATCATTTTAAGTACCATTATGTAAGGCTAAGAGAAAATAATGGTCAAAGTTTTAGTTTTAAATAATCATAATTTTATAATTACATAACTTAGTAAAATAAATACTTTGAAATTCACAATTGTTTAGTTATTTACTTTCTTTGGGTATCTATATTGAGTCTAATAAACATCAAAGGGCTAGAAATCAAGGTACAAGGAGGTTTAATCAAGGTAGGGAGAATAGATACCGAGGACTACGAATGAAAGAGAATCACTCTGTGCCCTCTGCTGAGCTGTGCCAGGGACTCTGGGTGACGGGAGTGAGACACAGAAAGTGGGCTCACCTGTATGATCGCTCTGCATATAGGACCCTCTCCCTGGGACCAAGATGGCCTTCTCAGTAGCCCAGAACATTCTGCCTTGTGCATCTTCATAGCTCGTATTTCTGATTATTTATATACAAGATACTAATACACATTTGTTGGTTTGAACTGACCTAAAATTATTTATTTTTTTTCCTCCAATTATTCCATAACATTGTATTGAACAAACCTGAAAAATACAGAATGGGAGGCAAAGTAGGCAGATCTTTGCGTTCAAGGCCAGCCTGCTCTGTATAGCTAGTTCCAGGCCAGCCAGGGCTACACAGTGGGACTCTGTCTCAAAAAAATTACATATAATTATCCGTGTGTGTGTGTGTGTGTGTGTGTGTGTGTAGCTCCAAAGCTACACAGAGAAACATTGTCTCAAAAAAAAAAAAAACATACAAAAAAAATTCCCCAAACCAGAAAATATCAAAGCACCTAGCTTTTATCAGGCACTTAATAATATGTAATGTACTTTACTTTCTAGCAAAGACTAAATAGATTACCTACACCAAAACACTAAGTTGCCAAGTGTGGTGACATATGCCTTAATATCAGCACATATAAGAGGCAAAGGGAGGTGGGTCTTTGTGAGTTCAAAGTCAACCTTATCTGAATAGTGAGTTCTAGGTCAGTCAGGGGCTACATAGTGAGATCATCTCAAAAAAAAAAAAAAAGAAAGAAAGAAGGAAAGGAAAGGAAAGGAAAGAAAAGGAAAGGAAAGGAAAGGAAAGGAAAGGAAAGGAAAGGAAAGGAA